GCGGGAGCTCGAGTTGTGGTTGGATCTGGCGTGGGAGTGTGGACGGCAAGCGGCGGCGGCGGGACAGAGGAGAGAGGCGAGCGGCGGTTTCTCCTCGCGCCGACGAGCTTGAGCATGGCGTGGGAGTGTGGACAGTGAGCGGCGGCGGCAGGACAGAGGAGAGAGGCAAGCGGTGGTGGTTTCTCCTCGCGCCGACGAGCTCGAGCAGGGCATGGGATGTCACGCCCGGAAATTCACTAATAATTTCCGAACTAATTTGTGCATAAAATCCTCGTCCAGGAATGAGCCGAGGTACACAAACTGACAATTTAATATACAAATCCATCATAATAATAACGTTACATACTTACAAAAGAAAAGAAAAACAACAGCAGCGGAATAACGGTCTAGCGATGGCTTCAGCTCCACTCCCACAGGCAACTCAACTGGGGTATAAGCCAAACGTCTTCTCCTTCTGGATCTTTTTTCTTCAACTGAGGTTGATTGATTATTGCAAGAATGAGCATATGAAATACTCAACAAGCCACACAGCAAATATGTAAGTGCACAAGGATACCAAATGATGGCATAATATAGTCTCATTTGCAAAAACAGCATTTAGCAAACATTTAGAAGTAAAACAGTAGAGTAATTAATCATCAATTTTAATCAACACTGAACAGCACACCCATGCTGCTCAGGCCCAACCATCCTGAACAACCATACCCGACTGTACAGATCTAACTCCATACCAGGAGCTAAGCAAATTATTACCAGTTATAACATCCATAATTATTGTGAGAGGTGTGAGACTAATCACGAAAAACATTGCTCAACCCGCCCATGACCGCGGGCACGGCTATTCGAATAGTTTTACTCTGGCCAGAGGTGTACCACTGTACCCACAAGACACAGCCTCAACATCATGTCTACCATACGTCACAATACTGGAAAGTACCCGAATAGAGGCTATGACAATACCCCCTGCACAACACAACTCACCACAGTGCACCATTCCTGGATCATAATCACCCCCTCTATAAATATAACCAGAGGCATGGACTCCCCAGCGACCCCCACGGACTTCTCGCCGCTTCTCAGTCTGGTGCCCCGCAATGAATCATGCTATAAAGAAGGTAAAGCCGTTGCCCATGCTGGCTTGTGGTTGGTACGGTTAATGTTTCACAACAGTAGCTCGCGAACCGGTCCTTAATTGTCATGAGCACGACCTTCAAAACCATGTGCTCACAACCCACCATTGTCAAGTTTTAGTTATCAATTAATTATCATAACACGATTAACCATCGTGAGCTACCATTAAATATAATCATAAGTGATAGTGTAACATTAGTTATCCCAATTATGTGATAATGTTTCTAAGCATGGCTAAGCAATTATATATATATAGCATTTAGCTGAACCAAACCAATATATAAGGTTCAAGCTAATCAATTTGTTAACCAAGGTATTAAGGAATAAAGTAATCAATGCAAATTGGCCATAACAAAGAAATAGGTTCACACCACCCGGTGACATTCGAAAATAAATGCACAGTTGAAATAAATAGAGAATTTAAATATAGGATCAATATGCTCAAAGGATTGTGTTTAGGATCTGTGTGACTTGCCTTGCAATAATCGCTCTTCAATTAATCTTCTTGAACACTTCCAACGTACACGCGAACCTTTGAAACGACGGAAACGACGAGCTAACACGCAAAACGAGGAAAAAGACTAATAAAAACCAAATAAATAGTACATAAAAAGTAAACAAACATGTAGATCATGATTTTAGATGAATTTAGAGACTTGAACGGCCTCATTCCGACTTCATATGAATTAGTTATGAATTTTACAAGATTAAACTGATTTTAACATTTATTTTTAGAAGGGAAAAGGGCTTTATGACATCACGATGATGTCATCGCAGCCATGGCACTGGACCACAACTCCGCCGGCGATAGAGAGCTCGGCCGGGCTATCCGAGAGCACCAACGCGGAGAGGACAACGACGCGAACTCACCGGTGCAAAGAACAACGACGAACGACGGCCGGCGACGAGATCCGAACGGCGGCGAAGTCGGGACGACGACGGCGGTGGCTTTCCGGCGACGAGCAGTGGCAACGGAGGGGTGGACGGGCTTCTTCTCCTCCGTGCGCACCCGACGGCGGCGACGGATGGCAACGGCGACGGCGCTAACGGCGGCGCGACGCGACCGGAGGATCGCCGGCGACGGCGGCTCTACGGGCGACGGCTCGGCTTGGGACCTGGGGCAAACGGAAGAGGACGACTAAGGGATGCTTTATATAGGCTTGGGCTAGAGAGATCGGACTCCAAACGAGAGGATTTGAGCCGGAAAAACCGAGGGTCAGTTGGAGAGATAAACTCGAAAACGAATTCGATTCCGCGTTGATTTCTTCGGGATAAAGTCCGATTCTTGAGGAAACGAAAGAGGAAGATAAAGGAAATATTTCCCCTCAACTAATTTTGCAAACGGAGCACGGGATGCGGCGGATTTGATGGAGGAAGCGGCGGCTGCACAGGTACAGGACGGCTGGCTCGGGCTCTGTCCAAGCTTGAAGACGACACTGTAGCAGGGATGCGAATTAGACCTTTCGTCTTGGGCTGGCTGAAAACAAAGCAAAGAAAGAAAGAGAAGGAGGAGCTCGGCTGGGCCGACTTGGGCTGCACAGCACGCGCGCGAGGGAGAGAGATGTTGGGCTGAAATCAGCCCAACGGCTTAGGAGAGGATTTAAAAACTTTTTCCAATTAAAATAATCACTGAAATGATCTTTGAATTGTTAAAAATACTTCCAATGCTCAAATAATTTCAAGAAAAGTTCTAAAAATACTTGGACACTCAAAGTACTTAAAAAAATTATAATCAGACCATTTAAATGATTAATTTAATATGTGGATAATTACTGAAATGTTCTTTGTATGATTAAAATTAGGAATTGAGCTCCGAAAAATCCGAGAAAATTCCAGAGAGTATAATTAACCATGGAGAATTTAATAAAAAATAAATCCATCAATGCTTTATATTTAGAAAATTTTATTTCCCACATTTAACTTCTCTTGTAAATTAATGAACATTTAATATAAATTCTAATACTAATTTATTAAATAATTTATAAATCCTAAAACAAAAATCAGGATGTGACATGGGAGTGGGACAGCGAGCGGCAGCGGCGGGACAGAGGAGAGAGGCGAGTGACGGCGGCTTCTCCTCGCGATGACGAGCTCGAGCAGGGTGAGCCCCTCTGTGATGGGCGGTGGCTGGGGAGGAGCGGCGGGGAGAGGGGATGGAGGTGGGGGAAGAGGTGCGGCGTCAACCCGAGGCATGCGACGGTGGGGAAAGAGAGAGAGGGGAAAGATAGGGGTAGAATAGGAAAGAGAGAAAGAGGAGACAGAGAGGTTTTTTTTGGGTTGGGACACTCATTGGGTTACCTAGATTTAGCCTGCATTGTAGGGTAGTGTTTGGCAAATGGGAAAGAGAAATGATTTCCCGGCAAAATTTGCCCTGGGACACCCAAAAATTATGTAATTGACTGTGTGACACTGTAAAATCGTGTCGTTGCTGATGGACACCACAAAATTTATGTAATTTGCTGTAGGACACCCGAGACAATATTTTATCATTTCTGATAAAAAGGATGGGAGAGAAATTTTAAAAAGACAAAATTGCCCTCAGCCCTATCTACGAATGAATGATCTCGAAGCAGATCTTGGGATGAGTTCGTTCAATTTATGTGTTTCTTATGGGCGCAGGGAACCAGTGGTCGATGTCCCACGCGAGAGGCGAGGCAGTGTCGGCATGGAGGTAGAGCACGTTGCCGTAGGCGTCGACGCGGAACAGCGCCGGGTCGAACCTGGCGTTGCCGAGGTGGTCAAGCTGCTTGCACAGCAGGTTCACGAACCCCCGCGGGTTCGCGGCGGCGCCGCCTCCGCTTCGGCCACCGGGAACATCTCGTTCAGATCCTTCGCCGGCATCGCCTGCACCCCACAACCACCCAATCAATCTCCACCGCACCAACAGTCGCGCCGCCACCGTCAGGAGCGGCGGGGAGGAGGAAGGCGTGGCGGTGGAGAACGAGATGAGCCGGTCCGGGAGCGACGACCTCGTCGTCATCTCTTGTAGCGACATGGGCGGCGGCGTGGGCGATGACGATGACGAGGACGCCGAGCATGGTGAACAGCGACGGGTTGATTCCTTCAATGGATTGCCATGCATGTATGCCCAGCGTGTTAGAGAGATCCTAGGGAGGCTATAGGTGCAAGGAATCGATGCGGGGCTCACTGAGGAAGCGGAAATCGGCAATGGTGCTAGGCGGCCGGCGTTGGGGAAGACGAAGGAGAAGAAGAGAAGGGGCAAAACTGTCATTTTACATGGTTTCTCTCTCATCAATTCAGTGGATATTATATTTTAAGGCGCCCAGTGTCCTGCAGCAAATTACTACACTTTTAGAGTGTCCTCGTGTAAATTCACATCTTTCGGATGTCCCACAGCTAATTACATAATTTTTGAGTGCCCTGTAGCAAATTTTGCCATGATTTCCCACCCATCTTTAAATCCTAACAATTCATTTTTCCTCTTCCATTTAATCCTAACCCTTTATTCATTTTCCAAACCAAATCTCACCCCCCCCATTTCTCATTATCCAAACACAAGGGCACTCTAGGATGGCTCACGTTGATCGTGCCCTAAGCCATTCCTTTCCAAACTGCTCATCCCATCCGAGCACTCCTTTGTGGCTTTGTTGGCCTGACCAGCCAGCCACTGAGCCCATATCATTTTGAAGGCCCATTCATTTTTGGGCTGACTTGACTAGGCCCAGCCACGTCGAAGTTCGCTTCCTCGGAAACTGGCGAAGAGCCCATGCAAAGCGCCTCGCGGAGCTTGGCCCCGTGCTCTCCTCCCTCCTCCCATCGATCCCCTCCCGTAAAACCCCCCGCGCCGCCGCCACCGCCGCCGCCGCCGTCGCCGCCGATCCCCCTCCTCCTCGATCGGCCTCCTCCCCATGTCCCGCCGCCACGCTCGCCCGCTCCTCCCCCTGCTCCGCCGCCACCTCCACCGCTCCGCCACCGTGCACCGCTCGCCCGCGCCCGCGCCTCCCGACGGGATCCCCTCCTCGTCGTCGGCGCCGCCGGATCCCGCCGCGGCGCGGTGGCCGTCGTCCTGGTCGCCCGCCGCGCCGCCGCTCCATTCGTTCGCGGCGTCCCACCTCCGCGAGGCCGTGTCCCCCATCGCGGCCGCGATCCTCGCGCTCCCCGGCGTGGACCCGGACCCGTTGCCCGCCCTCGTCGAGCACAACTTCCCGACCCTCCTCGCCGTCTCGCCGCTCGCCTCCCTCGAGCTGCTCTCCCTCCTGCGGCCCAATCCCCAGCTCGGCCTCGCGGTCTTCTCGTCCCGCCGGACGCTCTCCCCGCCCGCGACCCTCCCGGAGTTCGTCCTCGCCATCTCGCTCGCCGGCCGCGCCCGCGACCCCGCCGCCGCGGCCCGCCTCTTCGCCGAAGCCTCCACCGCATACTGCCCCGACCAGGCGCTCTACAATGCCCTCATGTCCTCGTACATGCACAGCGGTCTCGCCGACCGCTGCATCGAGGCCTTCCACACGCTGGAGCGAGACCCACGCTGTGGACCGCCCAATGCGGACTCCTACAACATCCTCATCGCCCTCTTTGGTCGCTCCCTCCTCGTTGACCACATGGAAGCCACGCTCCTGTCGCTGGATGCATCCGGCCACCCTCGGACAATCGGGACGTACAATGCAATCATCGCCGGCTACCTCACTGCCTGGATGTGGGAAAAAATGGAATCGGTATTTGATGAAATGGTCTCAGGTCATGTTGCTCCTGACAAAACCACTTATTTGCTGATGCTAAGAGGATATGCGCATGCCGGGATGATATACAAGATGGAGCTGGCTTATGAGCGAGCACGCCAGCATGTTGGTCAGGTTGACATGGTCCATATACGTGCAATGATATGCGCATACTGCAAGTTCAAACACGTAGATAGGATTCAAAAGATCGAGGAGTTATTGCAGAAGTTGGGTCCTGATGACTATAGACCATGGTTAGCTGTACTGCTGATCCGGGCATACGCGCAGGAAGGATTGGTTGAGAGGATGGAGCAGTGGATTGCTGAGGCACTGGAGCGCAATACCATTGTCACCACCGTGCAGGTGATGCGGTCCATCATAACAAGCTATTTTCAGTGTGATGCAGTAGATAAACTTGCACATTTTATCCGGCAAGCTGAGGAGGCAGGGTGGAAGCTTTGTCGGAGCTTATACCACTGCAAGATGGTGATGTATGGGAAGCAACACCGGTTGCCAGAGATGCATGGGGTTTTGGATGAGATGGAGTTTTTTCGGTTTGACCGAACAAAGAAAACCTTTTGGATCATGTATAAGGCATATGTGAGTTCTGGGCGGATGGCCGAGGCCAACACAATACTTTGCATGATGGGGAAGCATGGTTTTGGATTCCCCCGTGGCGGGTATATTCAATGACATGTGAGTAGATGCCCTGTTCCTATATCCTAATTGATTTTCTCATTGATCGATCTACCTGGTTTACATAGCAAATTCAAGTACGGCTTTGTCTTGGCCACTATTAGTTGTGAACTACTCTTTAGATTTTTATGACATCTGATTTAGTTTGCAATATAGACCATTTATCAAAGCCGAACTGAAGACTGGACACCACAATAGATCTGGTAGTGCCGCCTTAAATTGGCACTTCTCACTTGTCAACTATTTAAGACTTAGTGTTATGCTTGGCGTGTTTTATTTGTCAAAACTTGATTAAAAGATGGACAATGGTGGTCGGGAAGTTTTTTTTCCAGATAATAGATAATCTCACATAGACCAGTTTTGGGTGCTGCTGAAGAGCCCCAATTGGTAGAGAAAGTGAGAATGTTATACATAGAGTCATTGTCTGACTAACGTGAATTGTGCTGTGATGAGCCACTTAAGCAACAATGACAAATATAAACTCATTAATTTTTTTACTTGTTATATGGTGCTTTGGAGTTCAGTAGGCATTTAGGCAAACATAAAACTCTGCCTGCTTGATGAGATTGTTTCTCCCTTTGCATTGTAGATTTAGGATTCACACCTGGTGCAACCATTAATCATTAATCCCTAGAAAAGTTACAAAAGGAAAACCAAGTTTTGTTCTATATAATGTATAGTTTGTTATTCTGTGTTTATCATGCTTAGTCCTTTTTTCTTTAATAAATATTAGTACACCATCTTTGTAACCAATAATTTTCATGTTGCTGATAATTTTGAAGAGCATAAACAAAACTGATAGCTTGATGTGCTTCAGAAACTGGAGGGGTAAGTTTGGCAGCATAATACTTATGCACCTTTTTACTTTACTGACAGTCTTATGGGCAAATCGCATGGTGTTTTTAATTGAAAAAAAATGTTCCTTCAATATACTCCCTCCTTTTTTTATATATGACATTGGTTAGTTCAAAATTGAAGGGAGTACCATCTTTTTAGCTTCTAAGCAGTGTACTAAAAGTTGGTACTAGGCGCCTCTTGGGTGCTAGGCACCGGGTAGCCACCGCGATTAGGCATTAGATGGTGCATTAGGTGGCTAAGCTGCCTTGAGTGCTCTTGTGTTGCTATTTTAGTGTTCTATTCTCTAACTTTTATTAAGAGCATCTTCAATAGCCTAGCCAAATGGACATATGGCTAGCTAGCCAAAATGTTCCCTCTCCATATTTCCTTTGCGCCCCAAAAGATTAGCTAAATGACACTAGCCGTATCCCAATGGCTAGCTCCATCTCCATATATCAGCACAATTTTAATTATATCAACAAATGGATTCAGATATTTCAGCACAATTTACAATGGATGTTCATTTGTAAAGCCATCAGATTCATGGACGCCATTCGTCATTCCATTGCCATAAGAATTCTGCATCTGCTAAGGAAATTTGCTTCTCTGAACAAACAAGGACAGTCCATGCAGTAATCTGAAATTGTGAATCATCTACCTCATGCGTCATTGATTGAACTCTAAACCACCCCCATACAATTGCACTCTGAATGGCCCCCAACACCGCCGTCCTAGGGTGGCCCCACATTGGTGACCTCGGCATCTTTTGGGTGAAATGCGGGCCTGTGGGATGACATAGGACTGGAGCCGATGTGGAAGAAGCCAGTGATGGCATAGGGGGAGGAGATGTATCCGGGGTTAGGGACTCACCGGTGCTCGGTGTGGATTCATCGGAGGTGGCAGCACCTTATCTTCGTCAATGCAGGAGGAGCCAGCGCCAAAGAAGGTGGCGCTTGGTGGAGGGAGAGGTGATGGGGATGGCCCTGACCTGGGCGGCTGGGAAGACAGCCTTGACAGCGCCAAATCAGATTGGTAGCCGTGGCGCCTGCATGGATGGTGGTGCTCAATGCGATACGAGAAGAAAATGCCCTGCGAAAAAGAGAAGACGTTTGGGGGGAGAGGACCACACGGATATCTAGCCTCAAGTAGTTGGACACTTGGACTGGTCAGCTGGGCCTTTTGGCCTGCTAGATAGCTAGCATGTTGGACTCCTAATTTTTGTGATGTTGGCTAAAATTTGGTTTGGGTAGTGGTATGGCTAACCTCTAGGAGATGCAATAGGCTTCCTAATTTCTCAGATTTTACTAGCTGGGTTGTCTGATTCAATCAAACCAATCAGAAGCAAAAATATTACAACATAATTGCTGGAGAGCTTTTTTTTTTTTTGAGGGGGGGGGGGGGGGGGGGGTGGTTCATCATATGCCGCTCCAAAATTGATTGTTTTTCATCCATGAATCTACTATGACTCCCAGGGCCCATCTTTCACGAACCTGCATTTGCAAGTGATTGGTAACACTAATCCTGGTAGGAAAGGATATCCCAAGGTTGATTTACTGCTTATAGTCATACATGTTAGTATGTGACTGTTACTGCATTGCGCTTTATGTTATTACCTACTACCTCCGTTTCATATTACAAATTGTTTTTATTTTTTCCTAAGTCAAACTTCTTTAGCTTTGACTAAGTTTACAGAAAAATATAGCAATATTTTCAACATGAAACAAAAAAATATCAATATATATTCAATGTTGGATTTAACAAAACTAATTTAGTGCTATAAATGTTGCTATATTTTTCTATAAACTTGGTCAAACTTTTAAGAAGGTTGACTTTAAAAAAACTGAAAGCAATTTATAATATGAAACGGAGTAACTGACCAGTCCAGAATTACTTGAGCACTTTGAGGGTTTAGTCTAAGTTTCGACTCTTGCCTGAAAGTCATTCACTGAGTGGAGCTTTTATTTGTGATGGTACCTTTTAAGTTATATTGCAGTATACTTAATTGTATTATTTTTTGTGATGACATTAAGTTTATGGGTTATGCTAAAACCTTGTGTAAAGTGGATAACATAGTGGCCATAATACATTTGCAGGATTTATGTGGATGCAACATGACGCCGCTAACATCATATGGGGCTTTTCATGCCTTTGATGCTTAAGACAGCAAAAAGATATACATGGATCCCTAGAGCTCTGAAGTGCCCTAAAGCATGACTGAGGTTTGATCTCTACATGATTTAGAACTTTAAAGACTGCTGAAGTTGATCTAAGCAAATGCGCTTTGGATTCTTGAGAAACTGCTGCTTTCATCCCATCCTTTTTTGGCATAAAGTGATAAAATGCAATCTGAGGTGCCTGCATCTTTTGCGTTGCACTTACAGCTTAGCAAAGATTCTTCTGGGAAATCATGGCCAATGCTTATATGTTTGTTTTTGCATATCAACCTCAGAATCTAGGAGCCAGAGTATGAATTGACTTGAAGGATTCAGAATCTACTAGGCAACTTGTTCACAGTAAAACTTTGATGACAAGCAAATCTTGGGACTGTGCTTTGAAATCTCTATAGCAGTGCCACATGAACCCTCTATCCTGGAGCACGGATACATGGGCCTCGCCGTTTAAAAGGGAACCATAGAAACGATGGAACCCACTATTTTTTGGTATCGTTAGAATTTTTTATTTCTATGCGAAATAACTGTATCCTGCAAGGCACTAATGAACAAGAATGCACTTGGATGGCTTAACAGCAGCTCAAGTGGCTGTACAAAAGACTGCAAAATATCTATCGTCTGAATAGAATGAACAGAACAAATTGGGGATACCACTACAGATTTGCATATTTTGTTGAAAACATTGTTGCGGTAGCATGGCACTTTAATGTTATTTCATTTTCAGGCCAGGAGGCACTCATATGTTCCATTTCCCCACCAATTAACTTCGCACCAGTTTTGAACATGTGTGCGGCGATTTTTTGGTAATCATACAACTTGTAACCAGCAGAAAATGTAGTTGTCAAGCTGCAATATTATTGTCATGTATTTTGTCGCTTTGTTCCATGCATCACAGTCTCCTTTTGCAGCAGCAAATAATTGCAGGCTATTATGCGAAGCATTGCTTTCAGATTGGAATTCCAAGTGTTCTAATTTGTTTGGTCTTAGTAATTCTTTGCTATCCTGTTGTGACCTGGAAATGCGTTAAGAGAGATATGACAGTGCTCTTTTTATTTTTTGAGCATTATTCTTTCCCTGTAGGGCGGCTCTCGTATTTCTTTCGATGACTATCACATGCTTTTCAAATTGCAATAACAAATGGCCTATCAATGAAATAATGGTGCCATCATTGCTACTTAGCGAGTCAAGGCTACAGGGAAGTATTATCACGTGACAAATCAGATCAAGTTTAATACAGTACGTTAATCATTACGAATCTCATCGGGTGCATATGGATCAATCGAAAATACTCCCTCCGTCCCAAAATAACTGGAGCCATGGTTTTCCGCGCCCAACTTTAATCATTCGTCTTATTTGAAAATTTTTTTTAAAAAAATAAAAAAATTAGTCACGAGTAAAAGTATTTTTCATGTTTTATCATTTTATAACAATAAAAATGCTAATTATAAAAAATTTTTAAATAAGACAGACGATCAAAGTTGGGCGCGGAAACTAATGGCTGCACTTAATTTGGGACGAAGGCAGTATTAGGTAGACTGAAACGTTGACAACCAATAAAACCACAAGTTTAGGCTAGCAGTGGCAGCTCACCTTAATAGATTATTCCCAGTTGTTACTTGGTCATTTACGCCATCGATAGTATCACAGAGGAGGCTTCAGAGTTCAGGGATCACGCAGAGAAACGGATAAGAACGCATATATACATGGTACTCCAGATTCTCTCCAGCCTGACTTGGAGAATCACAAGTGTGCCTCCCAGGTTGGACTGATCACAAACTACACCTATATAAGTACATACTCCAGCAGTGTGCTATCCACGTCTCCGATGTCTCAGCCAGGCCCCGTAGGAATCTGCTCCAATGATCAAAAACAACTTGTCAATATCTTTCTAGTACTTACTATATTAGACCACTAGGCGTAGATTTGCATCGACCACTTCCGTACTAATTTTGTGAGAATTTCTGATGTTAATATAGGAGTAGCAGAAATTAGGAAGTCGTAATTGAATGAGATTTGCATCGACCACTTCCATATTATTTTTGTGAGATTTTCAGATGTTAATATAGGAGTAGCAGAAATTAGGAAGTCGTAATTGAGTGACATCCCGACAAAAGAAACTAATACACCATCCATTCTAAAATATACAGTAAATCTGAACAGGAAAATGTATCTTATAACCTCTACTAATTATTATATTTTAAGATGTGGAGAGCAGGGTTGGAAATTCCGGAATGAAATTTCCGAAATTTTGGTCACTACGGACCCCTCCGATATGATATTATTTCGGCTGAATTTTTTTAAAAAAATTCATGAATTTTGGTAATATTTGTTCAAATTCAACTTAAATTTGCTCGAAATTTTGAAAATTTGTGTATTTCGGTGAGGTCCGATCAAATCAGCTAAACCGAAAAATTTAACCCTGGTGGAGAGTATATTTTTTAATAAAAGATAGTATACTTCTTTTGTTACGAAAAATTTAATCCTGGCAGAGAGTATATTTTTTAATAAAAGATAGTATACTTCTTTTGTTATGAAATATAAGGCTTGTTTGATTTAGTAACCTACCAATATGTTGATAGTGCTAAACTCTAGACAAGTTTTGGCACTACCAATATTTTGGTAGGGTAGAATTGTAAATGAGTGTATTTGGATTTATGCCAATTGAGAGCCAAATTTCAAATTGTGGTGAAAAATATTCTAGAATTATGCCAAATTGAGTATAGGCATTACCAAACATTTGGCTTCAAACCAAATCATCATATTTACTATTTAAAATATAAAAAAATTGGTATGACAATATTTTAGTAGCAAACCAAAACGCCCCATACTTCAACCTAACATATTAAACACAATCCAGTATTAGGATCCTAGATACTACTACGCCGATCGACAAGCGAGTGCAGGGCACGACGCGTACGCAAGTACGTACGGGCACCAGCCAACCCAACCTTGAAGTGGGCACCGTCCCCAACCTTAAACCGGGGGCCAGCGGTACACGTATCCCGCACAGCACTGGGTCGTCTCTGCGTCGTCGGTCCCTGCTCGGCTTTGTCGCGAGGCCGCGCGGCTGGTTTTGGCACGGCCCGGGGCGGCGTGTCTCGTCGCCTTGCTCGCGCTATCAATAACTCGCCTCGCCCTCTCCTCTCCTCTCCTCTGGTGGTCCGGTCGATCGGGACGGCCATCCGGCCCGGTCCTCCCCCTCCCCGCCGTACGGCCGGACTCCCTTTTGCTCGTATGCAATGCATGCCGATTTGCCACAGCTCTCTCAGCTCGCACCACATGCTCCAATTCGTAGCTATAGGTGTAAAGTTTTAGCGTGTCATATCGGATATACGGGCACACATCTAAACTAGTATAATAACAAAATAAATTACATAATCCGTCGGTAAACCACGAGACGAATTTATTAAGCCTAATTAATCCATCATTAGCAAATGTTTACTGCAGCACCATATTGTCAAATCATGATGTAACTAGGCTTCAAAGATTCGTTTCGCAATTTACACGCAATCTGTGTAATTAATTGTTTTTTTATTTATATTTAATACTCTACGCACGTGTCCAAATATTCGATGTGATATGATGTAAAATTTTATCTACGATCTAAACAGGCCCACTACTACTATTACTCTTTTTACGCATACGTACCCTGCATGATTAGCTTAGCTGGGCTGCAACGCGACAACCACCAGGCGTACGTGCTGAATTCTCTCTTCTTATCTATCTATCCCCAGCAAGTAAGTACTGGACAGCTGTGAATCACACGAAGCCAGCCAATCATGCGTCCATGCGTCATATCGTGGCGAATTGTGATCCTTTTCTTCTAATCTCTCTCTCCCGCGACACGGATCACAACAGGTCGTCCGCTACTGCCGATAGCGACGCCCGTTGGTCCAAAGGGCGATTAAAACCCGCACAGCCCAGACGCTGTCACGTAGCGATTAACGCTTAGCTGAGTTGCAACTACTAGTAGTAGTACTACCCTTCTCTTCTCTTCTCATTTTCCTACTCACTCTATTTTAAAATATAACAACCCAATAAAAACTATGAACTAAATGTACAGTTTACAGACCTACTAAATTATGTTGAATTATACTATAAAATTGGTACTCCCTCCGTACTAGTAAAGAAATTCGTTTTAGATAGCGACACGGTTTCCAAAACATAACTTTGACTTCTTATTTCTATAAAAATATTTATTGAAAAGTGCTATATGTATACTTTTATGAAAGTATTTTTCAAGACAAATCTATTCATATAATTTTTACATTTTCAAACTCAACAACTTGATAGTTATTAATGATTTATATTTCCAAGATTTGACTTAAACATTGTCCTAAACGACTTCCTTTACGAGTACGAAGGGAGTATATTTTAAAATGAAGGATTGTGTTAAATAGATGAAGTAATACTGCTCCCTCCGGGCTGATAATACTTGTCGTTTTGAATAAGGGTGAAGTCAAACTTTAGAATCTTTGATTATGAATTATTTTTAAAATATTTATCTTTCAAATATGATGACTACATGTATAGATTAGTCTTAAAAAGTACTTTAATAAGATCATATATTTGCTAACAATTTTATACATATTATAATGAAAAATAGTGGTCAAAGTTGTTTTTTGGAGACCGTGCCCTTGTCCAAAACGACAAGTACTATCAGCCCGGAGGGAGTAGTAGTTACTTCATCCGTCACAAAATATAAAAACTTAGAATCATATGTAATATATGTTCAGAAGTGTAGTATTATAATATATCTTATTCAATTCTACGTCCTTGTATTTTACCACCTCTGTCAAAAAAGACTAATCCTACATACGAATCCGGACTCATATGTGTCCAGGTTCGTAGCTCGGAATTCGTTTTTTTTACGGCGTAGTATATTATAAGATGAAGGTATTAGCTTCAGCAATAAATGGAGAGAGAAAAACAATGGATAAATCGATCTTTAATGATCAGATCAAATCGCCGTACACGGCGTCGCGAGCTGCCACTGTTGGGGAGCTGGACCTGAGCATCTTGTCGCGGAACGCCGGTTTGTCGCCACCCGGTGGCCGGGCCGTACCACGCGGCCTAATGTCGCCATCGCCAACAGCTAATCGGGGGCACACGTCGTAGCAAGTGGCCCGGCCGGCTAAACGCCAAGGGCAAAGTCACCGCATCGCGATTAGCGACGACTAATCATGCCCCCCACCCCGGCTTAGTCTAGTTTATTTAATCTGCTAATTTGATGCTGTATGTGTGGCTGCTGGCCGGCCGACCGATCGATCGATTATCGAGCATTCGATCGAGTGTACAGAAGAAAGGAGAACTTAATTTACGTCATTACGTATTTACGTGTGACACTACAACTAAATACTTGGGTGTTAATTTTTTTTATGACACTACATAACTTTTTGGTGTGTTTACCATGAAATGATGAATATATGAATAATTTGTGATTATTTGAGAGTAGAGAAACGAACAAAGGTAAGTGGATTTTGGTGTGATTTATCTTTCAGTACTACTCCCTCTATTTCACAATGTAAGTCATTCTAACATTTCCTACATTCATATTAATGTTAATGAATCTAGACATATATATCTATCTAGATTCACTAACATTAATATGAATGTGGGAATTACCTAGATTCACTAACACTAATATGAATGTGGGAAATGCTAGAATGATTTACATTGTGAAATGGATGAAGAAATTAACTAGCGGATTTCCGTGTGATATTTACGTGTAACTAGATTTTAAGAACAATAATATACAACTCTTACTTTTATTTCCGTAAATATAATTATATTTTGTAACTATATTTTTAAATCAAAAAGTTACTTTCTAATATACAACTCTAGCTTACAACTTACTCATGTTTTCGGTGCTATATCAAACTTACACTGTTATAATCGGGCCGGATCTCATGATCAGATCCATGAAGAACATATTTATCTTTCTCTCTCTTTTTTAATACTCTCTCTGTTTTACAATATAAGTCAT